CCTTTGGATTCCACTCGAGCATCTGGCCTGGCGCTTGATGTCCTCAACCGGCCTTCTCATTGTATGCCCAATCCATCTCCTTGTCTCACCCTTCTGCATATTTGTTGGGTGATAGGTTGTTGGTTGGTTCGTTCCCACAGTTCCTTGTTGCTCATTCTTATTATTCCGGCCTTCTGATCTAATATTCAGTATCGAGTGAGCGAAGGTGGCGGCTGTTGATGAATGTCTGTAGTTTGTTGGGAGTGGTTTTCGTGACGCGCCAAGTTTCTCAACCACAAAGTAGCACTGACTTGACTGGATTGGTGTTGAAAATCTGAATCTTGTTCTTTGTGCTGAGTGAAGTGCAGTGCAGTAGATCTCCACAATGATTTCAGATTAATGAAAGCCTGTCTTGCTTTTCCGATCGTGGCTGTCTTTGACATCCTCGTCTGTGCCACCGCCGCTTGTAGTTGAAACGATGCTGCCTGGGTAGGTGGGTAGGTGAAAGAGACTACTTTCTTTAGATTTCTGTCGTTAATGGTGATTGGTGCTTGTTGTTGATGGTGTTGTTTGTTGGGTACCTTCATCACTTCCGTCTTCTCTACATTCACTTGAAGTCTGGTTTTCGCTGCCTCTTCTGTCAAGAAGAGAGATAGTGAGTGGGAAATGGGAAGGAAGTTATGATGGGCTAGTGAGGTCAGTAATTACCTGAGTACGTCTCTAGTAAGCCATACGAAATAAAGTAACTTTCTAACTATCGTTTGAATGAGTCTGTTGTATTCAACTATATAAAGTATTTGTCTACATATAAAGATAACAAGAATATATTTATACCGGAAAAATAACAGAATCAAGTCAAAGGAGAAGTAAAAATAAAAAGCGAAACAAATGAAAATGGTTAACGATGAGAATAGCATACTCTAAAATTGTATTCATCAATGAATGAAATCAGTTTAACAATTACCAAGAAATGTGGGAGGACTAGATATCTGTTTCGTCTTAATATGTAACTCTTCAACAGCATGCACTCATGACTGTGCAAGCGATTAAACTTAGGACCCTCATGTTTCACGGTGAATGCTTTAACTATTCGGCTACTCGGTTAAAGTTCAGGGGCTCACAGTTTCCTATCTCTATCAATTCGCCATATAGCACGATTATGCACTAAGGATAGATTGACTTTTTTCTGAATCATAATTTTTTTTATGGTTCAGAATTCTTTGCATATGGTATTGCTGTTGTTTACTTGTTGTACAATATTTTCAAACGTATAGTAACAATGACAATAGTTTGCCATAGACTGTAAATAATAATAAAATTTATACTGGATGGTGATTGAAGGTAAAGTAAAAATTTAGACAATCTAGCCGTGGTCCAAATTTTCACTTTACCTTCAATCATCACCTAATATGAATAGTAGTCTGCCATACCACAGCTATTTCAGATAGTCAGATGATAATCAATATGATGCTCCTCCTCTCTAAATCACTTAGATTTCGACTGGGATAAGAAGTCCTGACTAGGCAGCCAGTGTGAATACGATCAAGCGGTAGTAATGCATCACAAATTCACTTAGTAGTCAGGCAAAACCCACAGTGATTGTAGGGAATCAAAAATCAGATTAGCAGCCGGAACTCGTAGCTCAGTTGGTAGGGAATCGGGGCGGGTTCGAATCCGCCCGCTGTCCAAATTTTCATTTCACCTTCAGTCATCACCCAATCGAAACACTAGTCTGGCAAACCACGGTTATCTCAGATAGTCAAAATGATAATAATAGAATTGTTGGAATACTTAATGGCTTCAGGGCTACGATAATCCTTTTCTTTTACGAAGCTGATTGATAAGATTGTTTTTGATATGCATTTCTTCACACAATACACAAGCTAAATAAGGTATGGTTGAATTTTTTATGTAGGTGTGTGCATGAAGTTTAATATATTTGCTTTATGTCTTCCCTGAGGACAGACATAGAGAAAGATGTGGACGCTTGGGATGCTTGTCATTGAATAAAATATTTGTAGCCAGCTGTTTATAAGAGTTAAGATTCATTTTCACGACCGCGTTTATCAGTACTCTCTGTGGTGTACCACTCGATCTGCTGACAGCGTTCAAAATCCTACACAATACAGCATAGCCTATTTTCCGGAGTCCAGGAAAGAGTAAGGGAGAACAATAAGTAAGTATAGGCAAAACACAGGAATTAACGAAGTGTAAGAGTAAAGACTGAGTTGTGCCAGACATTTGCAGTTCCCTTATATAAAAGATCAAGTAAAGGATTTTCCTCAAAATCGGGAGAATACTAATGGTCGTAAAACGATCAAGAGAAAACCATGGGCTGAGATGAATCACACCCAATGCATTTTCCACTACAGAGCCACCAGTAAGACAAGAACCACGAAACTGAAGGGCTCCACATAGGTCTTGTTCACATCTTAGGTTGAAATTAGCTATCTAAAATTCAGAGAGATTGAGAATGAGGCCATCCAAGTAGGACCAGTGACCAATTTCGGTTAAGAAATTGATAAACTGGTAACAATCTGGAAATGAGATGACAAAATCAGTTTTAGCTTAGATAGATTAGTCGTGCAAAATAAGTGGAAAGTTACAAAGAAAGAACAGCACCCTTGGACGCACCAGCTTCACTGAGTAGTAAAGTGAAACAATTCCCTCTGCGTTAAGTGTAATACCTTTTCTAGGGAAAATAAGAATGAAACCAGTTTGCAACCCACGACTCATGTAACTTCTGAGAAGCTCATTCAATAAAAGTGGTCTAACAATAGAACCAAAAGCGGAAGTATAATCTAAAAGCCAGATCTAACATACATAGCACCTCTGTCCAGATTTGCAATAATATTATGATGCAAAACAGTTGTAGCATCTAAAGTACGCCTCCTGAATTCGTAGGCAAACTGATTTGGATCGCTGCAAGCCTCCAATGGAGGTTGAAACGCATGAAGTAACAACTTTTCCATTGATTTTAGCAGCAGAAAGGATATTATGATCGGTAGAAATTTCATACACGTTTAATAAGTCGAGGCAATGATAACCTTCCAAATGAAGAAATCAACTTTTCATATATAGATTCTACCAGCTTTTTTTTAATACAAAGGTGGGTTCAAGCTGTTGTCAGGTAAACTCAATAGAATGAACAACTCTCTTGTCTGGCGCCAACTGGATATGCACCAATACTGATTACGATAAATGAGGTGCTAAATTACACACATGCACACTGAGGTTGATAAAATTCCATCGCATAATCGGATACAGCGAAATATGAGAAAGCTGGGCTATATGAGTGATAATCTCATAAATCATACTGTTCTTCTCTGTGTAATAGATGCCTTCACTGACAAGTAGTAGTAAGCAAAAAAATTTGGATTTAAGGTTTACTGTTAGTTGCTTTCATTATCTAACTTTTCTACCCGAAAAGCAATGATAAACGTGCCGTAGGAAATATACTTTTAAGTTGGTATTCATCATGGACTGACATCATTTGGAGGGACATTGGAAAACCTGGGTGCGCTTGGCCGCAGTTTTGTCCCGGCACTGGCTTCCTCAGAAGTGCGGACCTACGACCTTCAGGTTCCGTGGACATTACGTTACTATTGAGCCACTGGGTGGGAATCCAATGGTGCACACTGCTGAAGAGTCCCATACTAGGACGAAACAGCTGTCGAGTGCTCTCAAGTTGCAATGTTCTTCCAAGTGATGTCAGTTCATGATGAATACTAACTTTAAAAACCTTTAAATCCCCACAAACACCTAAATCCAATATATTTTTACTGAATATATAGAATAACTCGGCAAGTGATTTGACTTCCTCTTTTGTCTATTGCACATAAATATACTAGTATCATGCTGATAGAAACTAATAACCTAATGAAGACAAAGATCACTTCACTACTTACCTTCTTTAAGAGTACCTGAAGATTGTAAAGACTAGTTAGAGACAGCTTGAAGTGATCCAGTCGCTAGATGGTAATTTTACTCTTTTACAATAATCCTTATCAACTCCGTACGTGGAATGATTCACCTTCTGAAGAGGTTGAAATCAACTAGTACTAGTCAGTTAACTCAGTAGACAGAAAAAAAGACCTAGAAATGTCGTTTAGAGATCAAAAACTTCCAAAAAATTGCAGGTAATTTTGGCGGTAAATGAGTGAAACGGGTCTCCGGGGTTGAAGTTAGTTTAAGTTAGTTCACAGAAGGGTTAATGAGCAGTACAAAGCTTTCGGCAGCTCATATTAGTCGACAATATATTTCAAACGACATTATCCTCATATTTATAGCATATTCGTTGATGTTACACTCCAAGACTGTGGGATTTCGCTTCCTCACTTTACCTAGTGTGGTGTAGTTCTCATCTCAGATTTTAATCATCTGTACCACCTACATATGACTCTAGGAGAAACTAGGTAAATACTAAACTAATGCACTAAAAGACTAGAACGCACAAATTCTAAGCAGTATAAAGACCCAACGATTTCAGAAATCTCTATGAAAATGAATAGTAGCCTCAATACAGTGTTATATGTTATTTGTGGCAAAAAATTGAAGTTTATCCTAACGTTAAACTGTTTCGGCAGTAGATAACTCACAGGTTCGATCCAAGCTACCACAGTAAGAAAAGGCAAAGTTTTGAACTTCCAGGTGTTTACTTCAATTTGAAGAAAAGAAAGAATACAGAACAGGTGACTCTATAGGTTAGCCTAACAGCTGATGAAATAATCAATCAGATTTCGGTATTTCCTATTGGATGGTAGTTGGTTATCTCAGCAGTTGGTACGGTGACCTTTATAGATGATATTTAGATCCGTCATACATGGTTTTTACGATATTTTGAGAGTATTCGAAACCGGAGTAAACGATAAAATGGAAGGCATGGCAGACAGCTTTGAAGATGTCATGCCACCCAACAGAAAATCTAAAACTTATTCAACCAATTCAACTTTGAAATATTATCTACTTATACAGATTATTTGAACTTATCTTGACGGAATTCATCACTATTCTTATATCAGGTGCAAATATGAAATTGAAAGATATCTTTGGTGAAACAGCCTTGGATATAGCTAAACGCTATGGGAATCATCATACAGCTAATCTGTTACAACGATTAAATTGGTTACAAAGGTGTAAATCAGCTAAACTTCAATATTTAAATATACCGCTTGCAGCTTTTCAAATGTGTGACTCAGCATATCCAAAATGGCGCCAAAATATCAATGGTCAAGTTTATTTACAGGTACAGTAAGTTATGTAATATACAATTAACAGTACTCATCATGTGATTGTGAGTAGGACTAGTAATAATACTAGTAACGATCGCGCATGAATATGTCACCAAGTTGTAATTGATAAATTATTCTGTCTAGTCCTCTTTTATTATTATTATTTATCCCTTGGGTTCCTAGTGGAACATACGGCTTCACTAGCACGCCACTATTTCACCCTCTTCTCTGCAGTCTTTTGAACCTGGCTCCACGATAGCCCAGAAGCTCTCATTTCTTCCTCACGCGATCTCCTCCATGTCACCCTCGCCTCGGACACCCAACTCGTCGTTTCCCCTCTGGGTTCCACTCGAGTGCCGGTGCGTGATGTCCCCAATCGGTCTTTTCAATGCATCTCCACTTCCTTCTGCATATTTGTTGAACGATAGCTTCTTGGTTGGTTCGTTACCAGAGTGAGTTCATTGTTACTTATTCTTTCCGGCCAGGTGATCTTCATATTGAGCATAGGCAGCTGTTGATGAATGTCTGTTGCTTGTTGGAAGTGGTTTTCGTGATGCGCCAAGTCTCTCAACCATGCAGCATCACTGACTTGATATTAGTGTTGAAAATCCGGATCTTGTTCCTTATGCGGAGTGCAGTAGATCTCCATACTGATTTCAGAATAATGAAGGAAGGCCTGTCTTGATGTCTTTTCGACCCTGGCTTTGACATCCTCATCTGTGCCTGTGCCGCCTGTAGTTGAAATGATGCTCCCTAGCTAGGTGAAAGAGACTGCTTCCTTTAGGTTTATACTGTTCATGGTGATTGGAGCTTGTTGTTGATGCTGTTGTTTGTTGGGTATCTTCATCACCTCAACCTCTGTCTTCTCTACGTTCACTTGAAGGAAGTCCCGTCCTCGCTGCCACTTCTGTCAACTTGTTGTTTTTTGTCTGCAGATCTTCGAGTTTGTGCGATATTAGGTTTAAATCATCGGTGAAATCCAAATCTTCTGGGGTCTTTTCATCGGTCTAGCTAGCGTTTGCCCATCTTCTGGTTCCTCATGGTTTGTTGCATGATCCAGCCGACCACAATTAAGAATATCATGGGTGATAGTAGACAGCCTTTTCTTACTCCTGTCTTCATGTCAAAGGCATCACTGAGCCTCCCATTGTGAATTACTTGGCTTTCTCGGTAGGTGGGTGAAAGAGACAACTTTTCTAAATTTTTCCCGTTCATGGTGCTTGTTTTGTTGTTACTTATTGGGTATCTTCATCACCTGAAGGAAGTCCCGTCTCCGCTGCCGTCTAGTCCTCTATTTTTAAAAGATTATACTGATCATTGTGACTGCTAGACTAAATTACTCAAAATACTTGTGAATAAGATGGTCTACGTGCACAGAAATCAAATGTATCCATCCAACTTTTGTGTCTGACAGCACTCATCACGTAGTGTTTCTAAACCTTGAACTGGACTAGTTGAACACTGGAGTCAGAAATGTTACTACTCAGTCGTAAGAGTAGTAAGTGACAACTTATGAGGGACCGAGGTTATAAGCGTGAAATATAGCTAAATGTACCCTATGTTCTACTATCAAATATCTATCATCAAATAGTCCACTGTGATGACAGTGCACTTGGCCTATCCCCGATCATATTCAGAAGGTCGATTGGTAAACTTCAAATGGAAATGATTAGTAGGCTGAATAGTTGACGGTACATAATACGCTTTTACAGACATCGAAAATCATGGAAAGTATCTACCAGATGTTAGTTGGTTGGAAGCCCTGCTTAACCTGAGTTTTGTAGTTGTTGGCATTCATCAGCAAGGTTTGTATATCTACAACCTCAAAGATGGCCACATCGCAAAAGAATCGATAGAATTTGGGCATTACTCAGGACTAGATAACACGAACAGCTCAAGTTTAACACCCAGAAACTGAAGCGCGAAACTACAAAAGACATATTCACGTCAACCACCAGGAAAAAATGGGTAATATTAAGCAACATTGCCGAGGAAATCTGCGTGGAAGAACACTGGAATTCTTCGAAAGCTATATGGAAAGAAACCAGCATGTGTTAGGAAGAAAGAAGAAACAAGACAAGGAATGGATTTCCACGGATACATGGAAGCTAGCAGAAGAGGTAGAGGAAGATGGTGAAGCAGAAGATAAACCAGTGTAGTGCAAGGATGAACAACGAAAAGAGGAACTGAGCATAACGTATAAAACACAATACTGGACAAAGAAGTGAAGAACAGTGCGTGAAAAGACAAAAGACACTTTTATGACACATTGGCAAGTGAAGCAGAACAGGCTGCAGGTAGGAGAGACAGAGACCTGACAACACCGTATTAAATAACCAGGTTACTGTCTGGTAGGGAAGAGATCAACTCAGATGAAACCAATGAAAGATAGTGAGGGAAACCTGGTTAGCAAAGAGGAGAAACGAAGGAAACGATGAGGTGACCACTTCACGAAGCTCTTGAATCGATCACCACCACCACCTACAACTCGTCCAGAAATACCACCAGCAGCCCAGCAACAGAGCTATCAGTGAACACAAGCCATCCGACAAAAGCGGAAGTCCTCAACGCCATACAGTTGCTGAAATCCTGGAAATCAGCAGGACCGGGAGGAATTCCACCAGAAGCACTGAAAAAAAGACTCAGAGACAACAGCGTACATGCTCACACCACTGTTGCAGAAAGTCTGGAAGAAAGAATAGGTCCCTCCTCATTGTTTGGAAGAAGGGCTACCTTTCCAAAGTCTCAAACAAGGGCGACCTTAGTCTTTGCAAGAACTGGCGCGGAATCATGCTCCTATCCACCCCAAGCAAGCAAAATATCAGGCCGCATCATACTAGAGAGACTAAACATGCTCTGGATTCATAATTACAAACGGGACTGGCTGGCTGGCTTGAGGAAAAACAAATCATATGAGTATCAATTTGTGCAACTCTATGCCACATATCATCATAGAACAGAGCGTAGAATGGCAGTCGACTCAACTCTACCTCAACTTCATCGACTTTGAAAAGGCCTTTGATAGCGTTGACCGAGAAGTAATTTGGCAGTTGCTTCAACACTATGGAGTGTCACAAACTAAGCAAACTAACAAATACTGAAAAAATCTCCTGCAATAATTAGTACTTTGGAATCCGTGAGCAACTTAAGTGAATGTAGTAAAAATGACGTACCGAAGAAGAAATCACAATAGGCTGAGCACATTCACATGTGTGATTAGTTGAACTTCTCAAAACTCCAACCTAAAAATTCTACCACACCATTTCCCAAAATGTAAACATCTTCAAAATCCTACATCTTACTCCATAAACTTACCCCCTAAGAGGCTAACTAGTGAAATTATCTAACAAAAAACTTGCATCCCCATGAGTTTTCGCTCTGTTCATCATCGATTCGAGGAGAAAAATAAAATTCGTTAAGCTTCATTCTGTTTACTTACTTGTGGTTGAGTTAAGGATCAAAGTCTTCTGTATAGAGTTATACGTATGACAAAACAAAACTCGAGCTATGCCTCACTGGTTTAGGCACTTGACCTTCAACCGATGCCTCATGGGTTCGAATCCTGCCCCACCTACCAAAATCTTCGCAGTCAGGTGGTATCATCAGCCGTCACACAAAATAGACGTAAATCATCATTTACTGCACACATATGCATATGGTTGTTGTGTCTATTCAGTTCGTCTTTCCTAGTACCATCTTATATGTGTATACTTGTTTGTTTATTTGTTGTCATAAAAAATGTGAAGTTATTTTTGTACTCTTTTTATTTTAAACACACTAAAGAAACTAACGCCAAGAGGTGAATATATGGGCACACGCTTAAATGCATCCAAATGGCATTGGCCTAAATTGGATATGGTTTTAACAAGGAAGAAAATGTAAGTCAGTTACATTTATTTAACTTGTTGTACAATGTTATGCTTACCGCTTAAACAATCACTCACCTAGAGATCATTTGTTCAAATGTATCACACTTCCCATTACCATAGAGACAAGCAGTTATAAAGGAGGATGAACAAGGGACCAAAGATAGTATACAATGAAGTGATTTAAAACGAAAGAGAGTAGGAATAAGGCAAGAAGGAGAGTGAATTTTCAAGATCTATAGGAAGTGGATGCCTTCATACCACTGTGACCATTTTTGAAGCTGCCGATTTCCTTCTCTAGAGATAAATCAATCAAGTAAACCACTATTGTTTACATAGCTAAAGCCGTAGTACGGTTTGCCAACATAGGACTTCTTCGACACCATCCCTACTTTGACAAGCATTGTGTTAAGGTAAATGATGAATAGCGTGCGAAATACCCACATGATAGACTTTAGGGAATCAGTGTTGACAAACTCATAAACCGTTCTAGTTGGTATTCATCATAAACTGACTGAAAATCTGACAGGATTGGACAGTTCTTTCCTCCTGGTTTGGGACTCTTCAGCAATGCATACCAATAACCCCACCAGGGATCATGAACTGTTCATCTACTTCATGTAGCTAACATTTCATTCCTAAAATTTATGTTATTGTTCAGATAATGAAGGAAACAAGTAATACGGTAGTAGTTGAAGTTGACATAAAAGTTTGCGTCACGTTAAATTTCACAACTTTTAGCTCAAATCCTAATGTGATCTGAGATTTAGTTTCAGTTCAAGTTACTACTCCATTTCATAAATACCAGTCTCATATATTTTCATCTACGTAGAACAGAGAGTCTAAGGAAAGAAGACGATTTCAGCGAATCAGAAATTTTGTTCAGCAAGCTCATTCTATTAGTTGTACATTCATGAATATACAGTAGAAGGGATAAAACACTCCAGAGGAACTTCTAGTCAAACGTTAAAATAACTGCATGACAAAGGCAATAAACAAATAATTACAAATTGAAATGCAATTACATCATAAGAAAATTTTTTGTAGTGGTGGTTGACGTTCCGATTTGCATTAGAGTCAATTCATTTGCACGTTAGGTTCATATTCGTTCGTAGACTGTTAGGGCATACTACCGGTCATAGAGAATTGGTGATGAATGCATTTTGAAATGGACGCATCACTCTTGGAAAAATTGATGGTGCAGCAGCTTAAAATGATGGAGTTGCTTGCTGGCTTACGGATATCTTCCCCAGTCAATCCATCTCCAGCCAATGACAACGTTGGTAACGGCAGCTTCGAATTCGTCTATGATTCAGATGCAAACATAACATTCGATACACGGTTTTGCAGATATGAAGACTTATTCAACGAAGATTTCGCAAGCAGAGATGATACACGGAAGGTCAGACTGTTGTTGAGACAGTAAATAGCCCTCTGCTAACGGTCTGTCTGCTCTTCTCTCTCGTACGTCAGTGGTATGGTTGTGGTGGTGGTTGACGTTCCAACTTGTGTTACAGTCTATTTGTTTGCACGTCATGTTCGTATCGTTCATAGTCTGCTAGGTTCGTGTCGCTTGTAGACTGTTAGGGCGTACTACCAGTCATAGCACAATTATCCAGAGTGATCGATCCTTTACTGTGGCCATGTCAAATAAAGAGGTTGTACACACTTCTTTTCAAATTACAGTGATGGTTTGAACTTTTGAGTTGTTAGTGCTTCAGTTATGCCCAGATGTCTTAACCTTACTCCTTTCGAATGGCTCGGTTGCATTTTGTACGAAAATGTAAAGGATTAAGTGTTCTGTCACGGAGCTGGAGACACATTTCCGTTCTCTCGTTATCAGCCTAGCTGGATAGTGTCCACGGGCGCGTTTCGTCAGTGTTTGTGTTTGTATCTCCTATAGAGCCGAGTACATCGGCCGTATCACATGCCAGCTTGTGAAATTAACGGTGACAAAGTAAGGGAAGTAGGAGGAAAATATTCAATAGTCAATAGTTTTAACAACACTGTCTCACTTTTTTACCCCTTTCCACTACTTTGTTTGAACTATGATCAACATTTGACCGAACAGTGTCGCGAATATTGGGCATTGAGTAAAAAGTTGACATTAAATACAGTTTGTATTTATGTAAGTCATAGAGGGTTTGAAATGAAATAATTCCAGCATTTCATACGGAGGGAGCTACACTCAGTCGACGAGTCCCAGATAGAAAGAAACGCGCGTCCTGAATTCCACTGCTATCCACTATCCATCATTAATATATCATTCAAACACAGGCAATATCGAGGTATCCGCGTAGGAGTCTCTATGCCAATAGACACCGATCAACTCGGTCCACCCCACGACGGGCTAATACAAACATGAACATTACAATTATATTTGTCGAACAAGAAGTGTCTATCTTGGCTCGGTGTTCTAGTGGATAACACTCTGGCGTTTGAAGCGGCCAGTCCTGAGTTTAAGTCCTAGTGGGAACAAAATCACTCACTGGGAAGTAGCTACGTCCAGCTGATGAGTTCCAAATAGGACGAAACGCGCGTCCTGGATTCCACTGCTAGCCACTATCCATCATCCACTCATCACATGGAAATCTTGTTTTCAGCTCCTTCAGGGAAATAATCAATCATAAATAAATAAACTCCTTGTTCAATCCTTTTCCTTTCTAAAATATGTGCAGTTATGTATCTCATGGCTAGCAAGTGTGTGTGTGCTGTTATTCATACTCTCCTTCATTAAGAAAGGTCAATGATGACATTGTAGTCATTCAGTAGTTATATGTATATAAGCATAATAGGGTATATGAGGTGAATATGTATGTTGGTTCCTTTGGTATATGGAGATGAATGGTATTAACGAATTTTTCATTAATTTGTTGGAATACACGAAAGGTGAATAGTAGTAATGATGGAGGCGACGATAACAATAATGAGTCAAACGAATTCAGATTGTGTTGTTGCCGCTACAGAGATAATAAAGCTGAGACTAGTGTTGAAGGTAAATACTAGAGTTACTCTTTCTGCTTACTAATTAATAGTTGTCAGAAGGCAGCTAACTGTACTCCATCTTGTCTGTTCAAACTGTTTGGATTTTCTAACATACATATATAGGGCTTCAGTTCTCAGTTTTGGTTGGTATGACCCAAAACCTTGTTGTGAGTGAAACCTTGGTTCCGTTAAAGTCAATTTTGTGGCCCATTTATAAGGAGTGTAACGCGACTGCCGATTTACTTTCTAGCTTCTTAACCTTTAGTGAGGTTTTTGGAATCTACTTTAAGTATAGTCCATGCTACTTCATTCTTAAAATTACCCGTTTGGATTCCCCCCCCACACACCAACACACAAATACTCCATTACAATCAGTGCATCTGATTTCACAGACACGATTATGTTTATTTTGTTTGGTACCATATATTTTACCTTGATTAGTTCAGAGTATAGCGTATTTGTTGCACGAAAATGGACTGTTGTGTCATGCTTGTTGGGAATCCTCCTGATTTCTTCCGAAGTCTTCTTACTATACGGGATTATCATCGCTTTTCAGTGTGTCACAGCTTTCGGTTAGCACATCAAGAGATCTATCTTGAAGCTCAGACCGGACTTCGGTGAGAAACGTTGAAATTATTTCATTTCAGGTTGGTATTCATCATACAATGACATCATTTGGAGAAACATTATAAACCTCGAAGTGCTATATCGTGAATTGGCAGACGTAGGAAATATGGATCACTGCGTTCCGCCCGTTCCGTGCTGGTCACGGAACTTTAAGGTCCTGGGTTCAATCCCTGACCGGGTCATGGATGCTCACTGCTGAGGAGTCCTAATACTGGAACGAAACAGCTGTCCAGTGCTTCCAGGCTCCCAGTGCTTCTCCAACTGATATCAGTGGATGATGAACACCAATTTGGAATCAATAAAATCCTCTCAAGCCTTCAAATGGGAATATTTCATTTCAAACACGCTGCGACTTACACAAATAGAAACTGTATGTAATGCCTTCTATTACTTTCTAGATTACTACACAGTTACCCTATGATCCTATACACAATTCACTTATACACTCTGAAATAGACCTCTCATACATTTATGAACTTATACCTTGTAATCCGATAAGCAGTTTTTGATGGCACTGTAATAACCTGGTAACTGTCAACTGGACATAGTTTCTCACTGTAACTGCCACTACGAATGTCCAGCTTCTCAGAATGTTTCATCGGGAATAGGATTTTCTGTGCTGATCTGTCTTTTGTTAACTTGTTATGAATCAGTCAGAAAAGTTTTTAAAATGACGTATTTGTGCTGATTTAGAAGTTTTCCTTACACAAAGTCGACAGACCCAGAGGCCGGTCACTAATTCTTTGAACAATACCCACGAGTGCGAGACCAAGAAAGAGCACAACAGAGCAGACCGTGCCAAAGTACAGTTGAGTTTCAGTTGACTGGCTAGAGGAGAGGGTACAAGCAACACAACGTGACACGACAACATGCTAAATGGCGTGAATACTTGACCATGCCCCTTTCAGCTTAGCCACTCCATTAAAACAATAAAGGTGGCATCAGTGGTGAATCTTGTTGAATCTGGATAATTATTCGCCACCACACTTACTTGATATTTCTGTTTTTTTCTAATTACAGACATCTTGAAGCAAAAGCAACCAATATTCGCGTCAAATCTGCACCACCCACCACCTATACAAAACAACGTCAACATCCAATGAAGAAGTAATAGTATAACTGATTAGTTTCATCTATTTCTACGAGGAATAATTTTTCTTTCCTTAATATTACTATATGATTAGACAACATCAATCTAATAATAAAAATATAATAAGAGACCATTATTTTTACCGTTTTCTTTCAGGAGCGGCTAAGAAGCTTTATCAGTCTGAGAGCACACTATTATTTCTGTTGGTATTCATCATGGACTGGCAGCAGTTGCAGAAATAACGGGAACCTGGGAGCACTGGACAGCCCTTTGGTCCTCATATGAGATTCCTCGGCAGTGCGCACCTATTACTCCCCCCCCCCAGGGATCGATCCCAGGACCTTCAGATCCCACTGATCTCAGTGTATGAAGAATACCTATCGAAGTTAGTGAATAAATCCCCACAAACCTACAAACTGAATCAACCTAATCCTCATTGGTGACTCACTTCGAGAGTTGATTATCGAAGTTCCATGAGTAGTCTTGACCAGGGGGCAAACCAAAACGAACATGATGATGGATGGAGGTCATGCTATATATCGTGAACTGACACAAGCAGAAAATATGGACCATTAGATTTCAGCCCAGGGGCTCCATCGTAACGTGCTGATCACGGAACCTGAAGGTCTTAGATCATGGGTGCCCATCCTGTCCAGTACTTCTAGGTTTCCAATGGTTCTCCAACTGAAATCAATGAATAAGTCCTCTACAAACTTCCAAACTGAATATACTATTATTTCCTAGTTAACTTACACGTAAACTCATATATAACTAAGCAATTTATATTATAAATCAAATATTAGGGCAAGAAATAAGTTATACTAGAAGTGGATTAGGTAAATGAATTGAAATATTTAGTAGTGAATTGATTACAAGTCTATTCACAGACTAGTGTAAGTGTAACAACAGGGATTAAACTACCAACATATCAAACAGTGTAATCAGTGTAGTCTGATTTTCAATCACAAACTATGACTCAGTTTGTTACATCAGCGGAAAAGTTAAAAATATAAATTTCAGATAAGTGTCATTCATTGTATTATTTTATTCATTTTAAAATCCATTTTATTTATCATCTATTTGGTAACATTATTGTATAGCTCACTTGGTTCAAACGCTTTCAATTGACTGCTCCCTCATCCATTTCTGTATGACTGACTTATAACACGGAAATAATGGCTGCATGTTAAGTAAAAACAATCCGTTATTATACACCATATCATTTTTTGTTACTTGAAATTGGCTGATTCATCTCTATTAACTATGGTACGTTGTGGTCAAGTAATTCAACCTATATATACAGAGATGACTTCGATCTCCTGAAATATATACGAACAACGAGCTCAAGGCTTTGTGTTCTGTTGTAAACAGTTTCAGGTGAGGGTTGAATTGCGTAACTCATCTTATGGGTGGGTTGGTTGCATAACATGATACAAAGCAAGCCAATCACATGCAAGGTTGGCGTTCAGACTGACCTGGCAGAATCAAGTAAAAACAGATGAAGTTATAACAAACCCGAGTGATTTTTTGGGAACATGACTGATCTAAGGATAGTTTTCATCACAGTACAACAGTCATAGAAGACTGAAAAGGACACAGTATTGAACACCCTTTTCTCTTATGTTCAATACTTGTTAACAGTTTCGAGCTCCAACATTTGTTGCGATCTGGGACATTCAGTTTACACAGTGAGTAGCTCAGAATCCACTCAGTAAATTAGAATATACTAGTCCATATTATTTAGCTGGTTTCCCTACAATTTTTGGCTTTACTCCCAGCTCCACACCGGACATCGTCTGTTTGGACGTTGTCGTCTCTTAACCCAGGGGGACGGTCCACTCACCGAGCAGAAAACATGTCATAGCAACGCAACCATATGAAAACAAGCACTCCTGCCAGAGTACTCTGTTTACACTCCCTCACAACTGGTTAATTAATCCCCCTCTCCCAACTGTTAGGCCTCAACTTATCCACCTTCACAGGGTAATCTGCTCGTTGACCGTACGTACCTCCCCGCGGGCAGATGTGCGTAGAATACGTCTCACTGACTATCCATACTCTTGCACACAGCGATGCAGCACACCTCAGAAGAAAAAAAGCCCATTCCAGGCTGCCTGAAAAATAGGCTTTGGCTACGGCAAACGATTACCGATATTCTGGACCAGATACCGCCTTCTCAAGGTAAACCACACCACCTCAACAAAAGTAACTGCCAGAATTAGGAGGATGGATTCCCTACCTTCTTTTGGCGTACTGCTTCCAACCCAACTGACGGGATCGTAACGGTCAGCTGGCCTCTCCATGCACTGGAGACCTGCCCATATGGATCTCGTGAACTGCCAAGTCAATTATGACGGTATATTGGCCCATATTATTTAACTGTAGTCACTTCACAATACAGCCTAATAGTAGCACAATGTGATGTGTAAGCACATGTCATCATTATGAACTTATTTGTCTTGACATTTCACAATTTCCTGTTAACACTTCAAGAAATCTATCTTGAATTAAGTAATTCCAAGTTAATGGATCATTAAGCAGTCAAACTGTCAGTGAGGAAATGACTCAATTGATATCGCTTTACATTATAAACTGAAGTTATCAACAGGTAACGCATTAAATTCACCAACTAACTGGTCAGCATTATCAACTGTTGATGTTTCACAAACTATGATAAAATAACTCAATTTAGAGTCTTATGGGAATTTATTTATTGGTTTCAAGTTGGTATTTATCATGAAATGATATCAGTTGAAGGACCATCGAAAACCTCATCAGTGTGTGCCCATGAGATCTGCTCTAGAAGCAGTTAGGAACGAGCTCAATAAAGACCATGAGCTTACACTCAGAACTAAGGTACCAGTAGATGATATCATGCTGGGAGTACGGCTATGCCTAACCTCTGCAATCTTTAGTTTTGAGAATGAAATATACAAACGAATAGGAGTTACCATGGGATCACTAATATCCCCTATTTTGGCTGACATATTTATGACAGTTGAGAACGGCTGCCTGTCGAAACAGTCAGTCCTGCTCCAAAAGTATAATTTCCATATGTAGGTGAAACGTTCACAGTGTTGAAGTCTAAGCACATATATAATTTCTTCTTCACACACATGAGTTCAGTAGTCAACTCAATCCAATTCACCTATGAATTAGAAAATAGTGAAGGGGAATCAACGATGTCGGATTGCGAAATAAAACGGAAACAAGATGTCAGTTTAGATACGAGTGTCTACAGGAGATTTTCTAAGTTCAATCGTTACTCAGAGTTCAAATTGTCTTACCGTATTTCGCTTAGTAAAATGTTTAAGCAAAAAAAGGGGTAAAAAAGGTACTAGTAAAACGGAAGATCTAAGACAAGGAAGCAGATACATTAAGGACACCTTACTCATCAATAATTACCTTCCTAAATTCATTGATAAGTTCCTTAGAAATCGTAAGGAAAATATGACTAGTAGCGGTGACACAATTGTTCATATTCATAATAGCAACAGCAATAATAGCTTTATTTGAAACAAAACTTGCGTTACAGCATAAAATTCTTACCATGTAAAAGTTCAATAAATTCATTTCTTGTACAATATCTTTAATCGAAATAATTATCACATTGGAATAATGTTAATACCAACAGTTATAAAACTCACAATGTGAAACAGGCACTTGATATTACACCAACATCTGGTTTGAACTGGTGATGGGTAGAATATCCCAGCTAGCAATTACTTCGGGTAAAAATCCTAAATTTTACTTCGAGAGTGCAGATGGGGAGATACACGATATTCCCCGAAAATGTCAAAAGTCACGAAGTGCGTCCAAAGTTTAAAACACGATTCCTTTTTCTGAAACCCATGTACAATCGGTAAATGTTTAAATTTTTTTTATTATCTGACAATAAAGGTATATGAAATTCCGTTGAGGCTCTCCGGCGAACTGGGTAGACAAGTGCTCTCAGCATACTTTGAGGCGAATGTTGGAACCATCTTCTCACTTTCAGCCAAATCATAAACCAATGGGAATTATATTATGCAACACATTAAGCATACCATTTTTCCTCTCTTTGGCCTTTTCTCTCTTATTTTCATTCTATCATGACTATTGTGAAATCATCTCTGTATATGAGTCGTACTTTTTCCGTCGTCACTTCTTTGTCATCTCTGTCACGCTTATGAATGTTATAAAGGACGTCTTGGTACGTTATAAATTGAAAACCGCAACTTACTTATGATAAGTTTACGACAACAGAGTTTTCTTGAACGGTCGTTTGTCTTGCATTGAAGACAAGTAGTACAACACGCTGAAGTTGGGTTCTAGTAGCATGTTATTTTTACTGAAAATAAAGAATATTAGAAGAAATGTGAAATTTGATAAAAAGCATCCCTGCATTCCATACGCAACTGTTTATTTAATGCATTCCTTATCTTTAAACATGAGGAATGCATTGAATAACAATGAAGTCAAACAGTAACCATTGAAGTGCATAGGAAACCGAATTACTTGTCACACCATCATCGAACAATAACTCACCACCACGATATATAGTATTATGAACGGGAGGTATGCTCGTAGTCACCAATTTCGGTGTACTAAAAGAGAGATTCCTTGGTTTCAAGGCCATAGAAGAATTTCACGCACTACTCAAACTATCTTCAGTAATTTCGAAACTTAGGATGCTTCATAGGCGTGCCCGAAATGTCCACAGTGTAGGCAGTGCACCGTAAGATTTGAGATAACCTATATCCACAGTTCTAAGAAGCCATATTTGGTAATATTATTATTATTATTATTGTCATTATGTGGTTCGCGTTTTATTGCCCCATGTTCTTTTGTATTAAAAATCAAATAAATGGAAACAGCCAATGGTAAAATAATTGAAAAATTTAGGGAACATACCGGAAATTTAATAAGTGCCCCCGAAGTTGCCTCGGGCTAAAACTTGAAAGTTCCAAACTACACCCGAAGTAAATGCTGGGTGGGATCAAGCGTAATTTTGGTGGTGGTAGTTTATTCAGACAGTACCAGAACCCGAAACTCCACTGTTTTCCAAGGAATAGTAATCTACTGTATTTTTTTGCATTTATAAGCTCATCTCATTTATTCTTTGTTTTGCTATCAGCTTTAAAAATGGCAGTTTGTAACAATTTTAAGAGTGTACAAGAGTACTTGACGCGTCCTAAAGACATTACTTAAAAGAATAAAACAAATTGAAAGAGA